CCGTCGACAACATTTCCGGGAAAAATTTTTTAGGTGCCCTTTCCGATAGTAATGTGCCCCTACAAGCCGGTGCCCCCCCAAACTCCAGGTGCTTCCTACGCCCCTGCACTTAGGCCTTATACTTATTTTGGTGTTCCTTTTGAATATGAGCCTTTAAGTACTGTGCATGTAAAAATTCCATACCACAGTCGCAGCAGGTACTTTTAACACATCCTTTCTGGTGGCATTTTAAATACTTCTGGCTTGAAAAATATTTGTCACATTTTTCACATTTCTTTTATAATTCCACCATTCTAGTATCCAGGTCTTCCCTTGTTAGTTGTGCTTTATCTCTCCAATTCTAAAATTAACAAATGGACACACTTGGAAAAATAAAGGATGCGTAGCCAGGTTGAAACATTATTTATTGAACGTTCTCCAACTTAATATTTATTTCTACGAGCTTTCGGCTATCAGTCTATAGTCTTCGACGGGTGTATACAAATGATTCTATAAAGGACGCTAAACTCTTAAGTAGGTAGTATGAAATCTGAGACTATCTATGCTATGTTACAAATGGGTAATATGAATATTTAATTCATTAATGTTTCTTGAGTTCCATTCTTAAAAGTATTGTGTATTGTGCTGGAAGCGTATTAGAGTTATTATCAGCTTCGTCTGTTAGTGCAGTGTGCCAGGACTCTAAGGTTTTAAGGTTTCTATGATTTCCTTTGTCTATTACTTTAGCATTGGCAAAGTCAATTACATGATCTTGAGTCCATGCGTGTTTTGCAACATTCGATCCCTTCTTGCTTTGTTTTATATTCCCTACGTGTTCAGACATTCTCGTTTTCAGGGATCTTCCTGTTTCGCCTATGTAGCTCCAACTACAATCTTGACACGGCATTTGGTAGACCACGTTGTTTTGCTCTTCAGTTGGTGGTTTCTGTTTTGCAGATGGAAACTGGCGTTCGGGAGTTTTCACTGGCTTATTGCAAACTTTGATGTCATGTTTTTGGGGTGTTCTCTCTAATGTAAGGTAGAACCGCGATTCCTGTAGGTGGCGACTTTCCTTCGACTAATTCGAAAAATGACCGGACTAACTCTTCAGGGCTTACTACAGTTTTGTTCTTACGTTTTTTGATCAATCCTGAAATTAATTTCTTTGGATAGCCATTTGATGCCAGAACTGTGGTTACATGATTTAGTTCTCTTTCTTTTCTTTCGTCAGTAGTAGGAAGTGGCAAGGATCGGTTGATAAGTGTTGTTGCAGTACTAATTTTATGTTTTTGGTCGTGATGTGATAAGTAGTTTAAGTAACGGTCTGTGTGAGTGGGTTTTGCGGTAAACGTCAATAGAAATTAAGCCGTCCATTCTAGAAATTAATAGACTGTTAGCCGTAAGCTCGTAGAGATAAATATTAAGTCAGAAAACGTTCAATTAATAACACTCATCAGTATTTAATTAATGGCCGCCGGGTAGTATTATTAATTAAAAACATAGGGATTCACAAGTTTGGGGAAGCACACTTGCCTAAAATGCAAGCATAGTTGAATAGTAATGCAAGCCCGTAGCTGGCTCTCAATTTCTGGGGAGGGCACTGCTGCTGAAAGAATGTAACAGAGGGGTTGGGATGATTCTGACTCGACCGCCCCCCCCCCACGTCGACAACTCTTTAGGTAAAAAATTTTCCGGACGAGTACGTTGCAATTGCTTTCCAGGTACTTTATCTCAATTTTTCATACCAAATTTCGGTACTTAGCCCACCCCCCCAAAAATAAAAAACAACATTAACAGCTATTAGTTCTGCAAAACGTCTGCAGGGGCCAAGCCCCCGGTGTAAGATTTCTGGAGGTGCTCGAGCTCGAAAGCCAACCCCCTCCCCATACCCCACGCCTATGAGGTTATTTATTTTAGGCCACAAGCAATCTATTTTCATACAAAAATTGAGTATGACTATGAGCCTCAAGTATTAATCTTCTAACGGTCGCTGTAGTACTGTATATCATGGCAAAAAATGTGGAATAAGGGGGGGGGGGCATAATTTCAATTTTATTTCCGAGTGGGGGGCACTGCCCCCCTCCCCAGGCGCTCCCTCAGCTACAGGCCTGTAGAAATGTAAGGGTACATTAATTTTCAAGTCCAGAACTGCTGTTATTATTTTTCTCTGGCTGCACTGTTGCTGCAATTGTTGTAATTTTAGGCCGAATTTTATTAAACATCAGTATATTATAAAATATGAGAACTAAAATACAAGTCATTATAATTATAGGTAGCCTTAGTAGGAAAATGATTAAACAGAATGTGTGATCATGATGAATTATATGAGAGCCAACTCACTTGAACTGAATAATTAATATATCGCCCGAAACCCTATCAAGGCTGGCGAGGGTGACTTGCACAATAAAAAGTGCTGCTTCAGTATCTAGGGTAGGTCGGTACCCAGGTAGGTAAGTGTTTGCATGTTAGGATTATATTTGTGTATTCTGGAGTCTGGACATAGACATATGACCCACTCTTTCGTGATCTACATTCTGATTCTGCGAATTACCCCTGCCACATCCACCCCTGGTGGCTTCTGAACGAAATGTCTGCCATGTAATAAATATCTTCATGTTTGTGATATGTTACTCTGAGTGATGTTACTCAATACCATTGGTATCGATGGAATTAGACTCAGTTCCGAATTATCACATACTCGAACGACCTGACCACCTAGCTCAGTTGGCAGAGCATTGGGCTAGTAATCCAAAGGTCATAGCCATAGGTTCGATTTCCACCGTAGCCAGGAATATTTTCCAAGCTTGCCACCTTAAAGGAATCCAAAATAGCTAGAGTTTAGGAGATCACGTGACCTGCTCCTCTCCACAGTAGCTAAGAACCGGGAAACGAGGTGGCAGAATCCAGTTGTCAAGCTCTAAGCACAAGTTCTTGTGCATAATACTAAAGTAACGCCAATGTAAGAGGTATATGGACAGATATGCATGGATTTTTGGGCATCTCTTGCCACATTGGCCGATTACTTTGGATATGTGCATGAACATGTGGTTCGACCTCTGGACATTAGTAGCTCAATTTGTTAGAGCGTTGCAGCTATGTATATATTGCATTTTTCGAAAATGCTCCTTGTTAGGTCTAAGAAATGTATAAAAATCATACTCGAAATTCTCTTCAAATCCATTCAACAACATGCAAGCTTGCTTAATTAAATACAGTATCGAGAAAAGGTCTGAGTAGACAGGAACATGTTGACAACTCTATGCAGGTTGTACACCAAATGGAAATATAGAAAATAGAAAGAAAAGGAAAAAGAATCAGCTATCGCGCACATTTGAGCAAGACCAATTAGCCTTTTTCACGATGACGAATATCCGCCATTTTTGGGTGGCATCTAATTCTCTTTAACCAATGCAGACAAAACAATGCAGACAAAACAATGTGAAAAGCAATTTTTCAAAATAAACTAACAATTTACAAAGCAATTTTACAATGGTTCTTCCAAAAAATTGTAAAGAGTCGCTGTTATGTGGATTTATCTCGCAGACTTCGGCTGAAAAACCACCCAAAAATGGCGGCGTGGGAAAGGCTAGTTGAACATTTATTTAGAAAATCTTCATAGCTGGCTACTTGCTAATAAATTAACTTTCGCTGCAATACGTTAACTACTCAAAAACTAAAAATCTCTACTTCCCGATCTACCCAGCGAACAGACTCCACTTAGGATATGAACCTAACATCTGATAAAACGAAACACGTGATAATAGTATAGCTTAAGGCAGTGGCTATCCAAAATTAATGAATTGATATAAACTAGTATGTTTACTGTACATAATTCATGATTTCCAGTCTTATAATCAGAACTGCATGACCATGTAGATCAGTTTGTAGAACGTCGAGCTAGCAAATTTGAAAGGTTGCAGGTTCCAAACCCAATCGCAGCAGCCATGTGTGTATAATAGTTTAATTTTTCACCAGGAATATCCCTCGAGTGGTGCAGTTATGAAACGTAAGAGTTAAAGTCACGCAAGATTTTTAGAATAAAATAATATATAGCTATAAAGTGGAAATGGACATTATCAAACCAGAATAAAACCGCAATGATTTTACATAAATTTATTTGAGTTATTTCTCTACAGCAACAGCCATAATACGTCGCCACGGCTCACTGATGTACAACTCAATACCACTTTGTTTAGTTAGTCTGTTAGTTAGTTTAGTCTGTTTTTAGTAAAATTGCTGTGCTGAGTGGTTATATTACTACCTGGAATAAACATTCAGAAACTCGACGTTTCGAAGGCGTTGCGTCAAGAGTTCAGAAGGGCCTTCGCTCGAAACGTCGAGTTTCTGCTTGTTTATTTCAGGTAGTAATATAACCACTCAGCACAGCAATTTTACATTGGTACTACCCACACTGGTACAGACAGTTTCTGTTTTTAGTTAGTCTGTTTTGTATGTGTCTTTTTCGCTCCAATCCGTGCCTGCAACGCAGTGTAGGGTATTAGTGGTTTTAGAGGAAGCTCTATTCATGGTTAGTCCAGGTTCCTGGATACTCTAGATAAAGGATGTTTTCCACCACCACGCCAATCCCCCTCCACCCTGCCACCGTCTATACGAATCATTTTTGTCTGAAATATTAATTTGCAAAGTACTCATAGTTTATATTATCAAACTAAATATAATCCTGACATCAGAATAACCATTTAAATCTTTTCATCCAATCCAGGTTCATCCAATCCAGCATCATCGAACAGCAACATTGGCGTGATTATTGGACTTGTGGTGGCCGCTGTTGTTGTTATGGCAACAGCGATAGTTATCGTGGCTTGCCTCTTCTATTGAAGGAAACGAGGAAAAGAGAACTCGCGGGACATTGATAACATTCAAAATACTGCCTATGAAGGTGACACACCTCGAAACATGGAATTACAGAAAATACCTGATCCTGAATGTGTTTACGAAGAACCAGCAGAATATGCACAACTTGCCAGTTCTCAGAGGGTTCCCGTTGATGCAAGTTATCAAAGTTTATTAAATGTGCAGAATTATGAGCAACCGGACACAGATTACAATGAAAAGTTTCAGCAGTATGCGTCAATGAACATGGACAGCAATCCAAGAAACGAGGTTCCAGGCGAATCTGACTACGAAAAAATCGATTAGTGTGACCATCAGAAGTTGTACATGCATGGCATAATGAGCCAATTGCGGAATGCGCAAAGCATCATGGTAGTTTAGTTACATAGCTGAATTTTCCATCATGGCGCTTGCTTTCTTCGAAGTAGAGTAGACGGTGAACAAATGAAAATTTGAAGAAAAGTTGTATCATTTTCACTTCGATTAAAGCTTTTGCCAAATCTGTACGTCTTGTTCTATATTTCCACTCTGTCTTTGGATTCCCCAAGCGAATGGTGTTGAAATATTTAACATGGCGTACCGAGTTGCTGAAGCGTGAAAGGGCTTCGATTCGATATGGTCAGACACGAATTATGGTATTTTTCACATTGTAAAGGTACGTACTTGGTTAAATTACTTTTTAGATAAGAGACACATTGTGGATCATTGTTTAAATGGGAAAATACGGCGATCGACTCATTTCACGCGGCTTGAGACACGAAGATGTTCTCACACTAGGTCGGCCTAAAAACAACACATGTTTGATCAAGTGTTCTTTTCACAACCAAAACATTGAGCTCGTTTGGCGCGAAAACTAGCCGTTTGAAATACCTAGCTTTCTCATTTCAAATATTTTCGCTGTTGTAAAAAAGTGCTTTTAAGTGCTATTCACTGCTGTTGGGTGTTTTAGTGGAGTTTTCAACTACAAAAAATTGTATTAATATTGTTCGTTGTTCGACTATCTACTTGGCCGGTTTTGGACTGTTTCTGGACCAGTTTTTTCGCCAAAAAATGGAAAATATACCATGGACAAAAAACCTCAGCGGCCTTCCTCCTTTTTCACACAATTTGTTAACAGAGCACTTGATAACTGACAGTTCAGGGAAACATGGGAAACCAGCAAATGCTCACAAGCACAAGAAGTACGGGTACCAGCAGTTTAAGGATAAAATGGTTACCCAGGTTTTAGTCAAGTCAAATGTCTTAAAAGGCGATGAAACGTTTTTCCTAGTTAAAAGTAATGTACATGCCTCCATGAAAAAAACTAATTACACAGTTTATGTACACCTAAACCAGAGCACAGGCAAAGTATCACATGCAAACTGCTCATGTAAAGCTGGACAAGGTGGTTGTTGTAAGCATGTGGCAGCCTTGCTTTTCCAAATTTTGGATTTCATTGAACTTGAGTTGACTGTTGTGCCAGAGGACTTGACCTGTACTCAATTACTGCAGCAATGGCATGTTCCCTCCAATGACAAACTTGAAACTGCTTTACTCTTTGACCAAGTGAAATTTAGTAAGGCAACTTCCATGAAAGAGAAAGTGTACAAGGCGGATTACAATAACCCGGCACCTGCTTTTGCTAAGGATGTGAAAGAACAGGACCTAAAAAACCTTGGGAACAAGTTGCAAGCTGCAGACACATGTCATTACTTTCAGGGCCTGTTAGAATCACAGGACTATCAACCTTATGAATATAATGAATTCCTGGATGAGTTGCCTTCGAAAAGGGCATTTACTGATGCAAACTCCCATGCAAGTCAGCTTTATAATGCTAACATTAGAGAGTCCATATTAAAAGATATTACTATCCCTGACTTTGCTGAAGTATGTAAGCATATACCTTCCCAGGAACATGCACATTATACTAAAAACACATTAGTTAAAACCAAAGAACAAATGCTTGACATAGAATGTAACACAAGAGGCCAGTCGGATAGCAAACTTTGGTTTCAAGAAAGACAAGCTCGTTTGACTGCCTCTAATTTTGGTTCAGTTATGAAACGTAGAGAAAACATTTTCCCAAAGGCTCTACTCACAAAAATGCTTACTCCGGCAACAAATGGATCAAAACCGCCTGAACCATGTCTGTGGGGGAAAACTAATGAGCAGACTGCCATAGCAAAGTACTTGGAAGATAAACAATCTTTAACAGCTTGTGTTCAATGTGGCTTGATTATAAACACAGAAGCTCCATGGCTTGGTGCCAGTCCAGATTGTTTATTACATGATGCTAGAGAAACAACACCATTTGGGGTAGGCGAAGTTAAATGCCCATTTTCAAAAAAAGAAATGACAATTGAGGATGCCTGTGAGGATTCGTCATTTTTTTTAACGGCACCCAGTAATAACAAACAAACTACCGGTACACCAACATTGAAAAGAAATCACCAGTACTACTACCAACTGCAAGGGCTTATGGCTACCTGCAAAGTGAAATGGGGAGATTTTATTGTGTACACTAAGCAAGACATTTTTAGTGAGAGAATTTACTTTGACCATGAATTATGGTACAAAACAATGTTACCAAAACTCACTTTATTTTATTTCACATACATTTACCCTAAACTAGTAAAATAGTGAATTAATATATTAAAGTGAATAAGAATTATTTAATTTG